TTCATCCATGTTATGAGATGTTTCACAGATTCATTGTCGTTCTTTATTGTTGCATAGTATTCCATTGTGCAAATATACCATAATTTGTTTATCCATTTGTCCACTGGTGGGCATCTGCATTGTTTCCATCTTTTTGCTACTGTGAGCAGTGCTGCAGTGAACATGAGTGTGCATATATCTATTCGTGTGATGGCTCTTCTTTCTCTAGGCTATATTCCAAGCAGTGGGATTGCTAGATCATATGATACTTCTATTTCTAGTGTTTTAAGGAAGCACCAAATCGATTTCCAAAGTGGTTGTACCATTTTACATTCTCACCTACAGTGTGTAACTGTTACAGTCTCTCCACAACCTTTCCAACATTTGTTTGTGTTTTTTGAATTAATGCTAGCCTTGCTGGTGTGAGATGGTGTCTCATTGTAGTTTTGATTTGTGTTTCTCTAATGGCTAATGATTGTATTTCTTCATGTATCTGTTAGCTGCCTGAATATCTTCTTTGATGAAGTGCCTGTTAATATCCTTTGCCCATTTTTTAATTGGGTTATTTGTCTTTTTGTTGTTGAGGTTTTGCAGTATCTTGTAGATTTTAGAGATTAGACGGTGATCAGATTTGTCGTAGCCAAAAGTTTTTTCCCAGTCTGTAGGTTGTATTTTTACTCTTTTGGTGAAGTCTTTCGATGAGCATAAGTGTTTGATTCTTAGGAGCTCCCAGTTATCTAGTTTCTCTTGTGGTATTTGTGCGTTGTTACTTATGGTTTGTATTCTGTTTATGCCACGTATTAGGGCTCCTAGTATTGTCCCTATTTTTTCTTCCATGATTTTTATCATTTTAGATTTTATATTTAGGTATTTCATCTATTTTAAATTCCTCTGTTGCTTTGTCTGTGTGTTCCTTGGCTTTTTCTGTGTTTTACCTGATCTCCTTCCCAATGTCTTGCAGAATTCTGTATATTAATCTTTTGTATTCTACCTCCGGTAATTCTAAGAAGTTCTCTTCCTCTGGAAGATTTCTTGATTAATTTTTTGGGAGCTTGCCGAAGCTATCATGGTCTGCCTCTTTATGTGACTTGATATTGACTGTTGTCTCCCAGCCATCAATAAGTTATTATATTTATTTATTTTATGTTTGCTTACTGTGTCCTAGCCTCTTGTTTTGTTTTGTTTTGATATGCCCAAATAGGCTGCTCATGTGAGGTAGTTTGATTATTGGTGCCTTTGAAGCTCTAACGTCTGTTGCCTTGCAGTTAGATCTGTTACTAGGTATGTGAGCCCAGGAGTCTGTTTACTTTTCTTGTGTGGATTCAGCTCAGGTGTCCAGGTAGTCAGTCACCAAGTGTGTGGTGCAGACTGTCACCTACAGTCCTAGAAGGGCAAGGGTGGCTGGAGTAGGCACAGGTATCTGGCTATAGTAGAGAGTCACGTGCTGAGTAAGGCAGAGGGCTGACGGCTGCTTCTGACTGTCTGGGAGAAAAGCATGTCCCTCTTCCCTAGAGTGTGTAGGTGGGTGGGTTTTGCAGCCAGACTATGGGTACCCAGTGCTGTTGGCTGTAAGGACTGGGAGGCACCACTTATTCTTGGACCCCTATTGCAGGTAGCTACGTGGCTTGGGTGGAGCCACCTGACCTCTGGCCCTTCAGGTGGGTTGATGAGGACCCTGCTTAATGGGCAGAGCAGTGTCAAATGTCACAAACCTGCCACTCCACCATATTATCTGATACATCTGAAGTTAGGTTTTAGGTATATACCCTGTTGTACCATGCTAATGAAGGCCTATGCTGTTGAATGGGCCCACACAGGTCTATGTGGGGGGCAAAAGGCGTTCAAAGTCCGTGGACCCCTTATGCCTGTGCCTAGGGAGCTGTGCCTGCCCTGAGTTCCCAGTTTAGGGGAGCTGGCAGATTATTTTTTCCTGTTTGTTAATTTGTTCCCTCTTCAAGGCCAGGGGAATGGCTCGTGGCGTGTGATGAGTCCTTCTTCTGGCCCAGGGCTCGAGCAATCACTGAAGCCAGCCTGGGACCCGGTGCAGAGTGGTGAGGGAGCAGGTAAATGAGAGAGAGGTTCTTCCCAAACAGGATGTTTTCTGATCCATGCAGTAGATTAGACGCGTGTACTTATCTTTGGCAATTGAGTGCCGCTTTTCACTGATTCTGGAGGCCTGAGTAGACTCTCTGTGGCTTGGTCTCTCCTAACCTGGAAAATGTGTCTCAAATGCCACTGCCTGCCTCTCTGTGCATGCCAGCCGATCTGGCCTGCAGGGTGCTGGTTCCCGCTGTGTTAGATCTGGCAACTCCTAGCTGCTTCTGAACTGTCTCACCCTTCCCCTGCCACTTAGTCCAATTCCTCAACTTTGCCTCTGATGTTCAGGACTCCTAGATTGTCATGTATAATCGATTCACTTGTTTTTTCGAGTCTTTGTTGTAAGAGGGACCACTGGAAGCTTCTGGCTACTGCACCGTCTTGGCCCTGAATCCCAAAGTGTAGACTTTTTTAAAAACAAATTTTCCTTTCAAAAAAAGCAAAAGAAGGTATATAATAAATTGTTTTGTAAAGCAAATCATCAAACATTCAGCTACTTTTTTTCTAGTCAGCCCATATTTTCATATAAAACAGTATCCCTCTTAAGAAGTAGGAGGTGTGCTTCATGAATAGAATTTTACCAAAATCTTTGTCAAAATAGAAATAATATAAGAAGCACAGGTTCATAGCATGTTTTCTATGTCTGATGTGAATGTGGGCATTATACTTTTAAAATTATTGTTCAGTTAGAAGTATGTTTCTCCTTAAGAATTAAACTGCCTCATGCAATTTTTTTTAACCTAGAAGGCTGCTTTTCATCTAGTTTTAAGTAAGGAAGCAAAAACCCTCTCCTCCTGGTAATACTTCTTTGTGTGGTAGTTATTGGACAGTTAGACTTTTCTTTGCTTTTCTTAAACTTCTTTACTTCTTTTTTTAAATATTTTATTATGTTTTAGGTGAAAGTTTACACAACGGATTAGATTCCCATTTAACAATTTTTATACAAATTTTCCCATGACATTGGGTACAGTTTTCACAATGTATCAGCATTATCATTTCCATTCTGTTTGTTCTGTTTCCATTGATCTAGTTTCCCTTCCCCTCCTTGCCTTCTCATCTTTGCTTTTGGGTTAATGTTGAGCATTTGGTCTCATATAGTTGATTGTTTAAGGGACATATTACTTATAGGTTATGTTATTTATTTTATAATCCAATCTATTATTTGACTGAAGGGTGACCTCCAGGAGTGGCTTCAGTGCCAAGTTCAAAGGGTATCTTAGGGCAATAGTCTTGGGGATTCCTACAGTAGGTCTGGGTTTTTTCAGAATTTGAGTTTTGTTCTATATTTTTCTCCCATTCTGTCTGGGATCATCTATTGTGTCCCTGGTCAGAACAGTCGGTAGTGGTAGCCAGGCACCAGCTAGTTCTTCTGGTTTCAGGTTGGAAGAGGCCATGGTTTGTGTGGGCTACTAGTCCTCTCTTCTCTTTTGCTCCAGACGAGTAGAGACCCGTAGTTGTATCTGAGATGGCTGCTTGCAATCTTTTAAGACTCCAGATGCTACTTAACCAAACTGGGGTGTAGAACATTAACTTTATGAACTCTGTTATGCCAATTGATTAAGTTATCCCACAAGACTATGGTCCTAAGCCTTTTAAGCCAGTTTGGGTATGTCTAGAAAGTCTCTGTAACTATGTACTTTATTAGGTATTTGTATATATATGCAGCACACCCAAACATGTATCTATCTATATATGCCTACAGATAGACTTGTACACGTATGTACATGCACTCACATATGCCTTCCTTTACCCATATATGGAGCCCTGATGGCGCCAGTGGTTAAGTGTTTGGCTGTTAACCAGGAGGTTGACAGTTTGAATCCACCAGCTGCTACTTGGAAACCCTATGGGGCAGTTCTACTCTGTCCTATAGGGTCACTGTGACATATGCATACATATCTGCCTATTGATATGCACAGATTATTACCATAAATATAAATCAAGAAACAATTGAAAAAACAGTGATTAGATGTTACTTCATATAAATGAAGCCAGTAGTGCCCTAGGAAAGTCATTGAATGTATAATTGTCAGCTGATTTTTTCATTATTACCTAGTTTTATTTTGAAGTATTATTGGGAAATGGAGTTGAAAATTATATAGTCTAGCTCATCTGCAGAACCAAACACAGCATGGTGAATTATAAGTGGGACAGCTCTTCTAGATCACATTTCCTGTACATTTCCCAATCCTGATTGTTTTCTCCCCTGTGTTCTCAGTTGCTTAGTTCACTAGCATTTTAAATGATGTAGGCAATTGAAGAAGATTCTGTTTTCTTTGATAGATTATTCTATAGTCTAATATACTTTATTGTTAGGAAATTTTTCCTTATATTCACTTTAAAATCCTTTGCTCAATTTCATCATATTACATTAAATTGCCCCCTCATGGAACTGTCCTAAACAATTTGTATCTTTCATGGTGTTGACATCCCATAAATAATTTTATTTCTCTCCCTTTCTCCTTCTCCCTTCCTCTTTCATTTTCTGTTTTATTCTCTTTCCTCTCTCTTGCTCTCTTTTTTGGTCTTGTTTATCTATTTGTTGATATTTTATACTGTACACGTTCTACTGTTATTGGAAAAAGACCCTTAGCTAGGCTAGGGCATTGGCTGTCAGCATTAGGGATTTGTTCCACATCTATACCCAGAGTCCTGTTCTTGCCATTTCCATTTATTGCTGATGTCTGGTCTGGTGCTGTCTACCCAGTAGGTAGTCACTAAGTTGTTATAATATGAAAATTGTATTTTTAATGTCTATTGAAACTTTTTTTTACTTTCCTCCTTACATGCATCCCTCACATTTTATTTTACTACAGGTTCTTCCTTTATTATCCACTGGCATTCTTCGCAGTGTAACAAGTTTTTCTTTTATGAAGATTCCTATTACCAAAGCAGTTTATATTTTGAGACTAGGTTTTTTTTTTTCGCTTTTCTTCTGTTGTCAAGATAATTAAAATGATTTAAAACAATCAATTTGGTGGAAAGATTTTAATATTGGCAATTTATACTTTTGGTTTTACAGATCTTTTTCCTTTTTATACAGAAAGAATGTAAATAATTGGCTATACTGGGTACCACTACCGATTTTACCAAATTGTTTACTTAAGATTGTTTTTAGTTCTCTTAAGATATTTAAAAAATAAAAAATGGTGATTTGTTTGGTTGCAATGCCTAGATATTTTGGTGAATTTTCTCTAGCTTCTTTTTTATTTTCTTTCTTTTTCCAAACAGTATTATGTTGTTCAAAAGCAGTACAGCTTAATGGTTAAGAGCATGGGTTTTGAAGTAAGATTTTTCTGAATTAAATCCTGACTCCCAGTTAGCTTCTGTATTATTTTGAGTGAGTTATTTAACCTGTCTTTACCTCAGTTTTCTCACCAGTAAAATGAGGATAATTATACGACCTTCCACACAGTAGTTGTGAGTATTAATTTATTACATAGGTTAATATATGTAAAGTGCTTAGAATAGTGGCTAACACATTGTAAGTCCTCAGTAATACTTATTATTATCTTATCCATGGCATTTAGCTTATTAGAACAGTATAGAAAAGAATTACTTTTTTTCATATAAACTCTTGACTTGCCTGCAATTATTGTTTGCATTGGTACACTATTGGTTCACTATTAGTATTTCTTTAGCACTTTATTTTTTAAATTTATTTTGTTGTCGTTGAGAATATACCCAGCAAAACATACACCAACTCAAACATTTCTACATGTACAATTCAGTGACACTAATTACGTTCTTTGAGTTGCGTAGCCATTCCCACCCTCCTTTTCTGAGTTGTTCCTCCCCCATTAACATGAACTCACTGCCTCCTAAGTTTCCTAACTAATCTTTTGAGTTGCTATTATCACTTTGATCCCATGTAGATAGTCCTTAAAAGAGCATAATGCTCAACACAGACCTTTTTTACTAGTTTAGCCAAAAATCAGGTGATATTTTTGGTTTATGGTTTAAAGATTATCTCAGGGCAGTAGTTTCAGAGGTTCTTCCAGCCCCTAAAGCTCCAGAATGTCTGGAGTCTGTGATAATTTGAGATTTTGTACTGCATTTTCCCCCTCTTGATCAGGATTCTTCTATATAATCTTTGATCAAAATGTTCAGTATTGGTAGCCGGGCACCATCTAGTTCTTCTGGTCTCATGGCAAAGGAGGCAGTTGTTCATGGTGGCAATTAGCCACACATTCCATATCCTCCTTCTATTCCTGAGTGTCCTTCTTCCTCTGTTGCTCCAGGTGAATTTCTTTAGCACTTTAAATATAAAATATTGCTAGTAAATGTTTGCCCCATCATAATACTTTCTGGATGGTTTGTGTGAGAGTAGTGGAGGTATTTTTGCTCTGATGAGTTTTCTTGTTATTCTGTCATAGGAGTGTAGTTTCTGTGAAGACCCTCGTTTTGCTAGAACTGGAGTTTGCATTAGCTGTGATGCAGGAATGTGCAGAGCCTATTTTCATGTGACCTGTGCGCAGAAGGAAGGTCTGCTTTCAGAGGCAGCAGCAGAAGAGGTAGGTTTATTTAAACCCAGAGGTGGTGAACATGTTCAGAACATTTCTTTTGCCTCTTTTATGGCCTACAACAGGTATGCAGGTATGCATCATAAATGAAATTTTAAAAAGTTTATTTTAAAGTCTTTGACTAGATCACTGGTCTGAAACTTCATAGGTCTAAATGATATTATGAATGAGTTTTATCAGTATTAAAGCTAGTTAGACATTTGGGCAACATATTAAAATTTTTATAGTGAGATCTGATACATAAAATGAAGCATAATCCAAGGTGTTTTGAAACTTTAAAATATCAGTGTATTTTATATGCAATTCTGAAATTGTATTTAGGTAACTGTTGTGGATTGAATTGTGCCCCCAAAATATATGTCAACTTGGTTAGGCTGTAATTCCCAGTATTGTGTGGTTGTTCTCCATTTTGTGATTAATGTAATTTTCCTATGTGTTGTAAATCCTAATCTCTGCCTGTGGTTAATGAGGCCAAATTAGATTATGTTAAAGAGGATTAGGGTGGGATGTAACACTTTTACTCAGGTGACATTCCTGATCCAACATAAAGGGAGTTTCCCTGGGGTGTGGCCTACACCACTTTTTATCTTACAAGAGATAAAAGGAAATGGAAGCCAGCAGAGAGTAGGGGACCTCATACCACCAAGAAACAGTGCCAGGAGCAGAGCAAGTCCTTTGGACCTGAGGTTCCTGCGCAGGGAGGTTCCTAGTCCAGGGGAAGTTTGATGACAAAGACCTTTCTCCAGAGCCGACAGAGAGAGAAAGCCTTCCCCCGGAGCTGATGCCCTGAATTTAGACTACTAGACTCCTAGACTGTAAGAGAATAAATTTCTCTTTGTTAAAGCCATCCACTTGTGGTATTTCTTTTATAGCAGCACTAGATGACTAAGACAGTAACCTTGCTCTGTTTCTCCCTAAATAAAATCATTACTCTGCCTTTAGCGTCTACATCACTATCTCATCCTTCACCATTATTTTTAATTCTGTAATTTTTCCTCCAGGTTTATTGGCTTTAGGATAAGCAATCAGTGGTTTTCAAAGTATGTTCTGATGACCCTTTAAAACTTTTTCAAGGGGTCTGTGAGGTTGAAACTATTCTTGTAATGTTGTTGTTAGGTGCTGTCAAGTCGATTTTTACCCATAGTCACCCTATGTGGCAGAGTAGAACTACCACATAGGGTTTTCTAGGCTGTAATCTTTATGGGAGCAGATTGCCAGGCCTTTCTGCCGCAGAGCTGCTGGGTGGGTTAGAACTGCCAATCTTTTGGTTAGCTTCTGAGTTCTTAATCATTGTGCTACCATGGCTCCTTATTGTCATAATACAAAAATGTTATTTATTTTTTTTCACTCTTTTCTCATAATAACAGTGGAGTTTTCCAGAGATTACAGTACAGTATGTGAATGTGAAAACAGTTTTGAGAATCCAGCTATCTTCTTTTATGTCAGCTATAACCCCCATTGTGGTTGAGTCAGTTCCAACTCATAGCAAAACTATAGACAGAGCAGAACTGCCCCATAGGGTTTCCAAGGAGAGGCTGGTGGATTTGAACTGCTGACCTTTTGGTTAACAGTCAAGCTCTTAACCACTGTGCCACCAGGGCGCCATGTCAGCTATACCAAAAAACCAAACACATTGCTGTTGAGTCGATTCCAACTCATAGTGACCCTATAGCTATAGAGACATTAAAAAAAATTTGCAAAAATGTAAAATAGTGCCACCCTTCTCACTCTAATTTTGGCATGGAAATTATAGTTATTTTCAAAAATATTATTTATGTTAACATGCAACGGGTTTATTATTATTATTTTAAAATAAATTAATGAATATTTTAAAAAAATTCTGTTTTAATTTCTTGTATAGGATCTGTAAATAAAACCCGCAGAAACATAAGCACTTTGGGGTTGTCTTAGTTACCTAGTGCTGCCATAGCATAAGTGGGTGGATTTAAAGAACATAAATTGTTTTTCTCACAGTTCAGGAGGCTAGAAGTCCAAATTCAGGGCGTGGCTCTAGATGCATGTCTATTTCAGCTTCTAGTAGCTGCCAGCAATCCTTGGCATTCCTGGGCTAAGGCTTGTGGATGCATCTGTCTCCATTGTCTGTCTTCTTCTTTCTCCTGTGTGTGTTTCCATCTGTTCTTCTTTTTTTTTTTCATAACTCAGAAGTGGTTAGGTTTAGGATCCACCCTACTCTAACAGGACTTTAGTAACATAACAGAAGAAAAGCCTATTTCCAAACAGGGTCATATTTACCAATTACAGGGGTTAGGATTTCAACACATATTTTGGGGGGATACAATTCAATCCTTAACTGGAGTTCTCAATAATTTTTAAAAGTGTTAAGAGGTCCTGAAACTAAAAAAATTGAGAACTGCTACTGGTTCAGTTGATTCTTTAGGCTGTTCACAAAAGCAGGTAAGTGAGTGTTTACTCAGTAATTTTTACTGTGTATTCATGATGGTTTTATGGTGATATCTAAGCCTACTCTTACTATGTTCCTTTGTTTATTGGCTAAATTTTCAGTGTCATATTAACTGGGCTTTTATCGTATCCCGTCTGTTTTGTAGCCAAAGAAAGCAGTAAAAAAGATAATCTGATGAAAAAAATTAATTTTGAGTAAATCTTCGGGGATTTAATGATTAAATGGATCCTATAGCAATTTCATTTTTGGTAAACGTATCTGTTTTTGTTCTAGTTTCTAATTCTGAGGAGTTGTATTTTGATTAATTGATAAAGGATATTGAAAGAACACTAAGCATTTTCACAGCTATTGAGTAGACATAGAAGTATAATTTATACAACAGAGTCATGAGGATTAGTCATGGTTACAACTCAGGATGGTGAGTGGAGATGCACAGGGACAATACAAGTAAGATTCAGAGGACTAGCTAAATCCTAGGTGAATACCTAGATCAGGGAACCTATAGGTTAATACTCTACTTTTGGAAAATTTTGAGCTTTGCAGTCAGTCAGGAAAGATACTTTGCAATCATTTCTTTTAGAATTTGTTGAGAGCTTCACATTTTATACTATGGTAGTTTGAGTCCCTTTTGCATAGCCCTGCCCTTTCTGGGTAGACGGCAGCTAGTTAATTAATGAAAACGTGAAGCAGCCATATATGGGACCGTGGAATGCAATGGGGTCTGTAGTGATTTGGACATTTTACTTTCTCAATTAAAGACATGTAAATTGCAATTTAACAAAACAAGAGATGCTATTAGATACATATTTTGCAGTCTGTGATCTGTATGTCTGTATCTGTGAGCTAAATTTTCAGGGGAACCTGAAATAAATTAGGATATGGAAATTGGGCCTGAAGCTTCTTCCTTGCCTCGCTTCCTTCCTTGATTGATTAGGTAGGACTCCTGGGTGCTGGAATAATAAAATGTGACTTCCCCCTCAACTCGCTGCCTTGCTAAATTTTTTTTTTTTTGGTGGAGGGAACCATTTAAAAAATTTACATACATTCCTAGTTTCTTGTTATAAACATTTGTAGAATTGGAAAATCATAAAGTTTTCTAAACAATGTTTTAAAACCCAAGACTTAACATGAGTCAATATCAATGAGCTCTGCTTTTGGCTGTAATCCTTCTGTTAAAGTGAAGGTGTTAGATATTTCTATATGGTCATACTTTTGCAGATTAGGGTTCATGTAACCTAATAGCATATTAATTAAGATAAAAATTTTAAATAAAAATAGATCTAGTGTTTTTGAGCATATCTTCTGTTTCAGTTTTCTATGACACTCTAGAAAGCAGTTTTTTTGTTTGTTTTTTAAATGACTAGTTTATTAAAGGGAATTTCTTCTCAATGGCTGTTTTATCCAGACCGTAAAAGAAGGGTTGAAAAAAAAAGACAATAAGCAGCTCAGTCTGTTCAGTGGAATCATATACCTCGCCATATTTTTCATGAACTTTTTGTAGCCTTCTAACTTAGTAGCTTCTTTATCTTATCGGTGAGGATCCATGAAGTTTCTATTCTTTTTGATCTACCTTGTATAAATGCTTGATTACTTTAGAAGAACATTCAAACCATATTGTGACACAGCATGTCTTATTATTAAAACTAAGTGATAGCACAGGTTCATTTAGCTTGATTGAAACTTACGCCATTAGGCTTCACATCATATAGTTAGCCTAAGGTTACTTATATTTCATCTAATCTATATGGTAGTTTTTTCTGTGATTAAATCACAATTTTGCTACTATTGAACATTGTTATACTCTGTAACCATATAAAAAATTTTCTTTGAAACAATGTAAGATTATTTATAGATTTTATTGATTTTTCCACAACCTTTGACTTAATGGACTGAAATCATTCAAGGAATAAACTTCTTTCACTGTTGATTTGATGTCTTAATATTGCTAGGAGAACCAATATTGCTAAGAATGAACTTTCGGTGGATCAAATATCCTTTAATGAGTTCATCAATAAGTTACATTGCTTAAAGTTAGACATTTTACGTGAGAGCTTCAGCGATACCTTTATATCGCCATGTCAGGCATTTGGAACCATACTTTATTTTTTAAATTAAACATGTTGACTAGCTGTTACTCAGACCACTTTCTCTCACAGTACACATCTAATCTGTCAGCAGATCCTATCAGCTGCCGTACATGATCCATCTTCATATCACCTCTCTGACCATCTCTCTCTATAAAAGGCCCTAGAAATTTGAAGTACTTGCTAAAGAAAGTATCAGTTCTTATTCAGATTTATTGGTTTTCGTTTTCATTATCTGGGAGTTTCAGACTGAAGACTCAATAAACTAAAACTGTAGGATATAAGTTAGTCATAAAATGTTTGTAAAGCACTACAGTTGAGAAGTGATGGAAGTATGACTTTGCAAGCATTTGTGGAGCAGTCACTATTCAATTCATTTTCTAAAACCCAGTTAACTTGTGTTAAGGAGTAACCAAAATTTGTTCTGTAAGCAATGAAATTTATATTTAAAAGTAGCTTCATAGTACTCACAGAAATCAGCCAGTTGTTATGATTGAAGTCATATGCATATGTGGAAGGCACTAAGCTGGGTATTGCGGTGGAGGAGTCTGTCAGCATAAAAATAGTTTTAAGGCACAATGTCCACTTCATTGGGGATAGATAGTAAACACAATAAAATGTTAAATAACTATACAAGATGGCATTAAAAGATGTCACAAATGCCTAGTATGGACAGGAAGTAATATAAATACAGAATGAAGAAGATTCCCTGCAAGAGTCAGAAACTTCAGCTGTTCCTTGGCTTATCTCTCTTACATTTAACTATTTAATGGTTGTAAATTAATGTGTTTTCATGTCACATTTGTTTATTCAGCAGGTATTTATTGATTTACTATGTGTTAGACATTGGAGCCCTGGTGGTGCAGTGGTTAAAAGCTATGGCTGCTAACCAAAAGGTCAGCAGCTCGAATCCACCAACCACTCCTTGGAAACCCTATGGGACAGTTCTACTCTGTCTTACAGGGTCGCTATGAGTCAGAATTGACTTGACGGCAGCGGGTTTGGACGGGTGTTAGACGTTGTTACAGACACTGTAGATACAGTGATGAACAAAACAGACAAATTATGTGTTCTTAAGGGAACTAACGTTAGGTGGCAAATGGGGACAGGCCAGATAATGAGAAAGTAAATAAAGAAATATGTGGTGATTAGCTAAATAGACAATAGATAAGTGGTAACTATGGTGAAGAGTAAGTAAGACAGTACGCAATACTGGAGAAGCCATCACAACCTGTTCAGAGTAAGTCATGGAAGCTCCATGGATGCCAACTCCCTTAGGCAAACTCCCTTAGGGACCGAATTGCTGGGCTGAGGGCTGTGGGGACCATGGTCTCAGGAACATCTAGCTCAATTGGCATGACACAATTTATAAAAAAAAAAAATGTTCTACATTCTATCTTCGTGAGTAGCGTCTGGGGTCTTAAAAGCCTGTGAGCAGCCAACTAAGATACTCCACTGGTCTCACCCCTTCAGGAGCAAGGGAAAATGAAGAAAACTAAAGATACAAGGGAAAGATTAGTCCAAAGGACTAATAGACCACAACTACTATGGCCTCCACCAGACTTAGTCCAGTACAACTACATGGTGTCTGGCTACCACCACTGACTGCTCTGACAGGGATCACAATAGAGGGTCCCAGACAGAGCAGGAGAAAAATGTAGAACAAAACTGTAACTCAAAGAAAAAAGACCAGACTTACTGGCCTGACAGAAACTGGAGAAACCCCTAGAGTATGGCCCCTGGACACGCTTTTAGCCCAGTAATGAAGTCATTCTGGAGGTTCACCTTATAGCCAAAGTTTAGACAGACCCATAGGACAAAACAAGACTAAGTGGGCACACTAGCCCAGGGGCACGACCTAGAAGGTAGGAGGGGACAGGAAAGCTGGTAATAGGGAACCCAAGGTCGAGAAGGGAGAGTACTGACATGTCATGGGGTTGTTAACCAATGCCATAAAACAATATATGTACTAACTGTTTAATGAGAAGCTAGTTTGTTCTGTAAACCTTCATCTAAAGTTAAACAAAAAGAAAAAATCAAAAAAAAAAAGAAATATGTAGTGATTAGTACTTTGAAGAAATGTAGAGCAGTATTTAGGGAAGGCTAGAGGTAAGATAACACTATTTTATATGGGGAGGACAGAGAAAGACTCTCTAATGAGGTAAGATTTGTGAATATTAAGTGAGGGAAGTTGTAGGGGGAGCATTACAGGCAGAGAGAACAGCATGTGCAAAGCCCTGAGTTAGGAGAGACCAGTGGGCCGTCGGAGCCCTGATGGCGTCGTGGGTAAGCATGGGCTGCTAACCAAAAGATTGGCGGTTCAAATTCACCAGCCATTCCTTGGAAACCCTATGGGGCAGTTCTGTTCCTTATAGGATCGCTATGAGTCAGGTTTGTTTTTTAGTGTGCCTGGGGTAGAGTTAGGTAGTAGGGCAGTGGGAGGGGAGGAAGGAGATTATAGAGGGAGCAGGGGGCCACATCATGCAAGACCTGAAAGGATATAGGAAGGACTTTCAAGATCCTACTCCTAGTGGAAAGAGAAAAACATTTTCCTAAATATCTACTATGTGCTAGGCATAGTGCTGGGCCTTTTCACATATTATCTCATTTAACACTTACTCCTAAGGTGAGTTCTGTTATTTTACCACATAAAGTGGGTTCTGTTATTTTAATATCAATTGTATAGATAGAAAATTGAACACCAGAGAATTTAAGTTGCTGACCTGACATCTTAATAACACAAGTAAGGTCTGACTTTTCAACCTGGACCTGACTATCATCAAATTCACTTAAAGAGTTTTCCAAATAGAGATTTATGAAGCCCATCTCTGAAGATTATGATTCATGTAGATCTAAGGCAAGTGTTTTACATGCAAATGCTTTGAGAAACAGTACTAGTACAGCTCCATTTCTGTCTTTGGCTGGGTTCTCTAGAGGAGCAAAACCAGTGAAGCATATATATAAATATATATCTAGAGAGATTTATTTCAAGGAAGTTGCTCACACAATTGTGGAGGCTGCGAAGTCCCAAACCGTGAGTCAGGTTGCAGGCTGGAGGCTTCTTCTGACTCACGTGGTTGCAGGGGCTGACCAACCCAAAATCTGCAGGTCAGGCGACAGGCTGCTGGCTCATGTCCCAAGAACTGGAGGTCAGAGGATGATGAGACAGATGCAGTATCAAGAGAGTGAGCTTTCCCAGAACATCTGTATATATTGACCACACCCCCAAGAAAACTCCCCTTCCAACTGATTGACTGCTTACCTCAGATCACAAAATGGAGGATGATTACATAATAACTCCCAAACCACTGACAATCATGACCTAGCCAAGTTGACACATATTAACAATCGCAATTTCTCTAAGCAGGTTGAAGGGATATCAAGTCAACCAGTGTGCTCATTAGGACACCATCACCATGACCTGTTTCCAAATTTTCATCACTCTTAACAGAAGCTTAGTACCCCTTAAGCAATAACTCCCCAATTCCTCCCTCCCACCTGCTCCTGCCGATTCTAGATTCATAGAGGTGCGACATACAATATTTGTCCTTTTGTGTCTGACTTATTTCATTCACAACATGTTTTTAAGGTTCATCCATGTCGTAGCATGTGTCAGAACCCCTAAGTCAGAGACTTGGTCTTAATATGTAACTCACTTCTGCAAGCATAAATCCTATCTCTAATGACTCAATTTCAACCTTACCTACTTTAAAAGCAATAAAATAATTATTTAGACTGGGCACTTTGAGATTCTATATAATCTTTATTCCCACTTAACATCTTCTTTCCCCAGGATTTAGAGCATGTCTTGAGAAAGCAGCTGTGTGTGTGTGTGTTAATGTAATCTCCTACCTATAATTTCATAGTCTGCCAATTTTTCTTCCAAGGTGCTCCTGGTTGGGTTCAAACTGCCAAACCTTTTGGCTAGTAGTTGAGTGCTTAACCATTTGTGCTACCCAGGGACTCCTACGTCTTTGCAAATTATTTGTTTTTGATAAAGTATGATAATACACAAGTATACCTAAATAATGCATAAGACTTGATTTTAGTATCTTTAAATCCTGAAGGCCTTTTAAAGAAAAAAAAGTTGTTAATTTGAAGTTGATATAGAAGGTTAAGTTTCTAAAGCAGCAATCTTTATCATTATGCATAAAAGTTGTTTTTTAAATTTATTTTAGAAATAACCAACACTGTAGAAGATTCTTCAAGAGGAAATATTATTCTTTTATGTTAGGTTTATTGTGGCCCTTTGGAGTAAAAATTTTTACTTTCTCTCCCCCTCCCTTTTATTTATTTTTTTTGGTATAGGATATAGCAGATCCATTTTTTGCTTATTGTAAGCAACATGCAGATAGGTTAGACAGAAAATGGAAGAGAAAAAACTACTTGGCTCTACAATCCTATTGTAAAATGTCTTTGCAAGAGAGGGAGAAACAACTATCACCAGAAGCACAGGTATGTGATTCGTGGCCAAACTGTTGTTTTTTCTTTCAGGGTTATTCATTTCAGAACCCATCCGTGTGTGTTTGTCAATGACATGTAAAGTATAATTGTGCAATTTGGTTAGTTACCCAGAAAATAAACTGTCATTAGGGTAGATGGTGAGGATAGTTTGTGGCTGAATACAATACTCTTCATCTAGCCAACAGAGCAGACGTTTATAAAGCATGTTTCTAAATACATTAAAAAATATAACTATTTAGAGGAATTATTCTATCAGTGCAATATGTTGACCACATCTTTTTTCAGTCTGTTCTAATGTTCATTTATGCAAAGGACTTGATCAGTTTGCCTTGTCATTTAAAATATTTTATGTGAATTAAGTAAATTTATGGAAACTCAGGCAATTACTGAGAAACTTGAGTTTAATCAAATTAGTTTCTCAAAATTCTGATCATAGATTAGGATAATTGTTACTTAGTTTATTTTAACCCAGGAACTATATGGTATACTTTAGGGACCGTGGATGGATATAATTTGCCTTAATTATAGGAAATTTTGGTTATCTTTACTGCCTCTGAGATTGGAAGTAAAAATCATAAGAAGCTGTGTGTTCCATTTTAATGTCTTTTAAGATTTGTTTACATTTCTTTTGTAGGCGAGGATCAATGCCCGGCTTCAACAGTATCGTGCGAAAGCAGAGCTAGCTCGATCTACTAGGCCGCAGGCCTGGGTTCCAAGGGAAAAACTGCCCAGACCACTCACTAGTAGTGCTTCAGCCATTCGTAAACTGATGCGGAAAGCAGAACTTATGGGTATCAGCACAGATATCTTCCCAGTGGACAATTCAGATACTAGTTCTAGTGTGGATGGAAGGAGAAAGCATAAGCAGCCAGCTCTCACCGCTGATTTTGTGAATTATTATTTTGGTCAGTATAGACACTCATACATATACATTTTCAATTAGAGCACTTTTCTAATGAAAATATTTGATATGCTGCTAATTTTTAGAAATTTATTAGCCATGCTACATTTATCAAGTAAAAACATATTCATTTTCCTAATAAGTTGTGGGTTGTTATAAATGCTAAGTTCATGTATTTGTGAATAATAGACTTAAAAGTGTTTGAAACAATGTAGGTTTATACATGTGGTTATCTGTATGACTAGCTTCTTCCTTTTTGTATTTTGTATATTAACTTTTATTTTCTACTAAATTAAAATTGGATATTTAATTTAAATAGAGAGAAATATGCGCATGATTCAAATTCAGGAAAATATGGCTGAACAAAAGAATATAAAGGATAAATTAGAAAATGAACAAGAAAAGCTTCATGTGGAATATAATAAGGTAAGCTGGCTGTAAAACAAACAGCATGATGTAATAGATCCTATTGGTGATTTCTTTTATGATTTTATGGAATTTCTATTTGTTTCTTTTTGAAATTCTTCTAGAGCTTTTAGACCCTTCCCTACTACCCTGCCCTCCTTATCTTTATTATCTTTGCTTACACTGAGCATTTTCTATGGGCCAGGTACAATCTGAGCATTTTACATGTACTAACTCAGTTAATTCTCACCTCTACTTTGTGATGTAAGTTATGATTATTAATCTCATTTTTAGAGAAAGAACCTGAGTCCTAAAGAGGGTAAGTAATTTGCCCAGGCTCACATAGGTAGTCAAGTCATAGAACTTGGGTTCTAAGCCAAGCAGTCTGATGCTAGTCTTTATTTCTAACCAATATGCAGTATTGTAGGAAACTTAGAAATTCATTTTTAAACTATTGTTTTAATCTTGAATTGAATTGTAGTATTACTTTTGATAAAAAAGAAAAAAAAAAACTTCTCAGTTTACATTTGTATTGTACAGCTTCATTCTAGTAATGAGGGTCGAGATAAGAAATACATAAACACAAGATGTGGCTAAAATGTCAGATAATAAATAATGTGAGCATATAACACTGATGTTGACTTACTGTTAGAAAACATTTCAAGTGATTAAAAATACTAGTAGGAAATAAGTTTCTATAGTCAGCTACACTGTAGTGAAAAGAGTACTGGAATTAGATTGAGTAATTCCTAGTTCTGTGATCTTGACCAAGTCACAAAAAATTCTATCCTTAGATTTCTCATTGGAGAAATTATGGAAATGCATCTTCATAGAGTCAAAAGGATTAATTAGCAGAATGTATATAAAATTATGTAGCAAATGATAAAGGAATATATAAATGTATCATTGTAACTAGTAAAAATACTAACATAAAACAGGCAACAGCTTGCATTTTGTTGGTGCTTCTGAATAATTGTATAGACTTATTCTCAGTGCTTATGTGAGCTGAATGTATTAAAGATACAGAGAATATAAATGTAGATATTTCCGAACATTTATTGATAAATTATTTAAATTTTCACATATTTTACTACACATTTTAATGAAGTTTACTAATCTGACTGACTTACTTTATAGCTGTGTGAATCTTTAGAAGAACTACAGAATCTGAATGGAAAACTTCGAAGTGAAGGGCAAGGAATATGGGCCTTGCTAGGCAGAATCACAGGGCAGGTTAGTGTCTTTCCAATAGCTATGTCCTTCTATTCTTGCTCTCTATATAATTTTCAAAGACCAGTTTCTTGATACAACTGTCACTTTGCTAACTAAAGAATTCTGTTTGATCAGGGCCAACTAATCCTCTGGGAATAATGATTTCTGCCTGAAATACATCTAGAGCATTGTAAGCTGCCTGCTGAGAACCTGTAGCTTAATTTGGTTATTTTAACAGCTGTCTTGTTTGCAAAATTTTTTCATTTGCTGAAACTGATTGACCTGTCATTTGTGATGAAGCTAACATATGAAGCATGAGTTACTACTACTGCATTCTTCTTTAATTTTAGCAGTTTTAGATTCACTGCCACATTTTTTTTCTGTCCTGCTCTTCTGCTATATTTAGTTCCTTTTTATTTGGATGTAAAATTTGGAAAGGCAAACTGGAGAGAGTCGTTTTCCTTTGATTTTGTTTTGAGCTGTGTAAGAGAATGTTTGAAACTTTAATGTTACAAAGTATAGTTTTTCCCCTTCATCAGTAGCTTTTTATTGTAGTCCTGAAAAAATTACTTTATCTTTAAACATTGTTAACATGTTAAAGTTCTTGGTGTTGAAAACAAGAATCATTGCCACATGGATTTTTTGGAATGCTCTTTTCAGTATACTGTGTATATAATTGGTAAATTTCAGAGTTTACTCAAATAATTTTAGTTACATTTTTTTAAGGCTGATAGAGACCCACTGTTGGTGGTCCTTTCACTGCAAACTAGTTTAATTTGAGGGAGCATTTTCTTGGTACAAATATTTTTCATTGTACTTGTTTCAGAGGTTTACAGAGTCAAATGCATCGTATAATTTGTGTATATATATTATTTTAGGAATTAATACTTACTGATTCATATTGTGCCATGCTAGCTTTGAAGATACTTCTTTTGTGAACAAGGTTGTATGTGGCTTAAATTATAATGAATTTTGAAAGGTAAGAATGAGTAGTCACCTGTGGAAGAATTGACCTTTGCTCCTGTTAACAGATTGTTGATGGGATTTTTGGGAGAATATGGTGTTTCATATTTTGTATTCAGAATAGTTAATGTTGAGTTCCAGCCTGTTATTAGTTTATTTGCCAAACTAGCATTATTTTTTGGCTTGGTTTGTGAGTATGTCTCATAATAATCTCCTGTTTAGTATAAAACATATCTACCATAAAAGAGCATTTTCATTTATTAGATGACTTTTAACAGAGGTTCACAAATTTCCTCGTGCAAATGTAAAATACACAGCAGAAGTGGGATTCATTTGTACTGCTCGCATGACACTTTTTTCCAGTTGGTTGAACAGATGCTAGCCCACAGGGCCACTGAGAAATGACTTTGATAGATGGTTGCTGTCTGAGAAGCTAGCATACTACAGATTAGTAGAAACCCAAAGAGAATCTGTGCGCTTTGTGGAGAGTTTGGTCCAATAAGATAATTTTTCTAATTAACCTGTGGAGCACCACCATACCTGGGATGTTGAGGAAAATAAACGGCCTCAATTTTTTTTTTGTCACATGTGCCGTGCTATTTTTTCTTTTCTTCTTTTTTTTAACCTCCTAAATACTCATCCTTTTCTTTCACTTTTTAATGCTAAAGTAGAAGTTAAGTTTTCATAATGTTTTAGCATTCCACTGAAAGTTGATGAAAGTCTGGCATTATAGGTTTCTAATGGAAGTAACTGAGATAAAAACTCATGGTAATCGTTTTTGCCAGTGTAACAGCTGGTAAAGCAAATTTTTCCCTTATAATTCTAGCATATTTAGTTGGCTTGAGTGGCAAATATAGGAAAATGTTGCTTTACATTTCTTCCTTAAAACAATATAAACTACATTTGTTCAAATCAATAGAAGTTGAACATACCAGCAATTTTGCGAGCACCGAAGGAGAGAAAACCAAGTAAAAAAGAAGGAGGTACACAAAAGACATGTACTCTTCCAGCAGTACTTTACAGGCAAGTAAAGAATAATGATATAATGAATAATGATAGAATAATGTTGTGTATTTTGAGCTAATACTTATTAGTAATAAGATACTTTAAATATTTGAGAATGAATTATATCCATATCAGAATTTAAGTTAAATGCATTTGAAGGTACTATGTTAATACTTTTTCAAAAGTGTTTTCCAGTTGAATGATAGAAGACCTTTTTGTTGCTCTTTTAATGATAAGATAAATGACTTGTATTCTTTTAAGTAACAGAATATATCTGTATAAGCTCTTTGGAAATGAACAATTCTTTTTGGAGAATTGGAAAGTCACTTTAAATAATGTAGATGATTATTCTCTTAAATAGTTAAAACATTATAATAGGCAAATAGACATTTGTGTTTTATTTTACTTGACTCAGAGTTTTGTCTGTTTTTAGGAAGTGATGGATATTGTATGTACAGTCTGAATCTATTGCCTTTGTACAGTAGTGAGCAATGAAGATAAGGTTTAAATTTGATTCTGTCTTTACATTTTTTTTCTCTCTATACTCAGTTGTACTAATTCTGTTTCTAGAAGTACTTTCATTTTTTATTTTTTGGCTCAGTATTCTTACAGTGTTCACCATTATTATAATTCTAGATAGTCAAGCTTCTTTCCATATCCAAATAGCTTAGAATCTCATTTTTTTTCATGTAAATTATTATATTGATTAAATGAGAGAAGTTTAGAAAACACCAGTGTGTGTGTCTCTAACACATACATACACACACATATACATACACATGAACACATACACACACACACATACATACACACACATGAACACACACACATATACATACACAAACATGAACACATACACACACGAACACATACACACACACATATACATACACACGAACACATACACACATACACATATACATACACACACATGAACACATACACACATGAACACATACACACACACCTACATACACACACATGAACACATACACACACACATATATATGCCTATATAAATAAATTAATATTTTCCCCACAACTTCTTCCTTTCTCAGCAACCGCAACGGTAGCAACAGTATCCATCTCTGTAGTTACCATCCATTTTTTTGTTGGGGGCTCCCTCCATAGGTAACAGCAAGTAATTCCCTTGAAATGTGGGAAAGGCCTACGTTGTTTTAATGTACAGTGTGAAGACTAACACATCCTCATTCTGGCTTTTGCAACCATAATACACATCACTATGCTACTAACTTTAGTTGACTACAGTGCATTTTTGTTTCAGAATATGTTTTCAGTGGTTTTCCTTTTTAATTCTGAGCAACTTTAAGACCACATTGTTGTTTTCTTGTGGTACTCTTCTTTTCTAGGAGTTTAAAAAAAAAATCCAGACATAATTGCTGTTTCTGTACTTGGATGGTTCTTAACAACTTTTCCCTCACTCTGTACATTTCCAGTAAAATATATCCTGGATTTTCAGATCACGGTGCTTGTATTGTCAGGAGTAATTAAGTTGTGTTTTTGCACAAGAACAGTTAGATTTCTTAAAAACAAACAAACAAAAAATCCAGAATGGCCATAGCAACAATAATAAAATTCCCTGATCTTTGCAATAATTATCAGTTGGTATTGCAAGCCTGATTTTTAAAAAGAGACTTGCATGTGTAGTTTATTTACATGTTGAAGAATCTTTGACATGTTTATAATTAAAAGTTTGTTTGTTGGTAAAGTAACCTGTAGTTTTAGAGAATTGGGAAATTCTTTTGTTTAATAACAAAACAAAATTTCGTATTTCTAGAGAAAAATTGAGCTAATGGTAAATGGCCTTTAAGTGATAATTTAAATTAAAATAAAGAGGCTGGTGGGAATAAATATCTTACCTAGACCTTCTTTGAAAGGTTTGACTCTGTTAATATTTAAATTTGTACTAGAAATTCTCAAAAGTATTTAGAACTAACAATTAGTTAATGACATTATAAAAAGACGTGTTATGAAAAAAAGTTTTAGTTCAACAGAGTAAATGTTGATTAAGTTTTTGAATGAAAGATTCAATGATTGCTGAAATTTTGGAAATCAAAAAAATATTATGCTGTTTTCATTGGTAATAATTATTCTAACCCTCTTTTTGCCATCTTTGTTCAAAGTTGTGGAATTTGTAAGAAGAACCATGATCAGCATCTTCTTTTGTTATGTGATACCTGCAAACTCCATTACCATCTTGGATGTCTGGACCCACCTCTAACACGGATGCCAAGAAAGACCAAAAACAGTTATTGGTAAGTAAAATGAAAGGGATTTGAATGTTAAAACTGGTTTGCTTTCAGTTTCAGAAGTGTAAGATGAAACGTTATATCGTATTGATTCACAATATAGATTTAGCACATTTTTAAAATAGTTATTTCCATAAATATTTATCATAGTATAATATGAATAAAACTGTAACAGTGTTCTTAGAAATGACTTTTCATTTAATTGATTCTATTTTGGTATCTTAGCAATGGATTCTTACTTTAGGCATGAATTCTATCCAATGTGTTTATAATTCTCTTTTGCTTTATTGTACGAATTTCCTAAATACTTTATTTTTATTTTGAAATTGAATAAATTCATCAAAAGTTTGCCTCCTATTCATGCTTTTACTTATAATTCAATATTTTATTTCTAAATTAGTGTCTCCTAAGGGTTTACTTCTGGAATTTGTTGTTTGAGCTACTTAAATTTAAGTTCAACCATTCTTTAAAAATATAGGAGCATTTGACCTATGTTTCTGAATTATTTTTTTCATTAACTTAGACAGATTGAACCACTACAGATGTTTGATAAATGCTTATGATATCTATAATGAATTTTATCCTTTTCTTAATTTTAGTCTTAGGGAGAGGCAGATGTTAAAATTTTAATTTTGATTCATTCCTTATAGGAAAGAGGATATAGAAAATGAAAAGCTTTGGAATGAACATGAGTGTTCTTTTCAGATAAATTACCCTTCTAAGTGTTAGAAAAGAGCAAACCTCAAATTCTTAAATGGTAACTGTACAAAAGGTCATGTGTGTTCCTAAGTCACATTAAGCACATTGTTTCATCTCCTAGGGCTACTTTATTACGAAGCTTAAATCCTTCACTATATTCACAGGATAGCTTTTTAGTAGTGTTCATATTGGTTTGTTTTGAGATGTTCATACTGGTCTGCTGTTCTCAAATATGACAGAGAATATTTCTTTTGATATCTGTGTGTATTTGAAATTTCCAGATTTTAAGATGAAACTGCTATAGCATATTAGAATGCCAGCAATATTAGTAAGCATCCTAGATAGGTTAAATCAAAAGCTAGTTTGGTAGTCTCCAGGGCCAGGATGTTTTGTCATGATCCTGGGCATAAAGATGTGCAGTTTTCTCCTTAACTGAGGTTGTGGATCTTCCTAACATTTCTGCTTGCAGAGATCTGGTTTCTAGTTGTGTGTGAAAGTTTTTGGAAGAACTTTGATGAAAGTGCTTAGTCTTTGGGGCGAAGGCCCTCCCAAAAGAATCTAAACTGCTTAGGTCCTATGGATATGTTACATTTTAAGTAAAAGTAGAAGCTAATATTGCAGAGTAGTGAAGCCTTTAATTTCTTGTAGTTTCTAGTAATCAGATTTCTGTTGACTTCTAAAATCAACTTAGTTTTGGTTAGCTGTTGGGTGTATTAATTTTGGAGCAAGCCAAGTTATAGAAAATTATTTTTTCTTTAGTTTACCTTCAGTGTGGAAAGCAGTTTTTTCTTTTTAACAGCTTTCATTTATTTTTGAAGTTATATTAAAAATAAAGTCAATAAACAGGTAAAATGCATCACTTCCTAAATATTTTACTTCATTTTACTATTATATATGCTCTTGAGGTTAAGTCTGTTCTTTCTGTATGGTAGAAAAACTGTTAAGGTTGTCTATTCTATCTGTATGGTAGAAAAACTGTATACATAGATGTGCTACTACGTATCTCTTCCCAACTCCACATTCATTGATACCTTGTTGGTAGCTTGAAATTTCCATGGCATGGAAATTAGCAAATGCTACAAATTAAAGCTTTTCTCCCCACTGAGAGCCAGGTTTTAAACATTTACTAGCATAGGACCGTGTGACTTCTGTTTTAGTCCCTGGGTGGTGCCAATGGTTAGTGCTTGCCTATTAACCAAAAGGTTGGCAATTGGAGCCCACTAGAGGCGCCTTGGAAGAAAGACCTGGCAGTCTACTTCTGAAACATCACAGCCGTTGAAAACCCTGTGGAACGCAATTCTACTCTGATACACATGGTATCACCATAAGTTGGAATCAGCTCGACGGCAACTAACAACAACAATGGGCCACCAACTAAAATGACCCATTTATTTATTTATTTATTTATTCAATCCGTCTTAGAGTCTGTTTTACAGGTTTCTCTAGGTGGGATATTCAGCACAATCTGTTATTAACTAAGATTAAAAGATAAGATAGCTGTAACAAGAAGTAGAGTCAGCGTCAATGAATGTCTGTGATTTTCAGGTGTTGTAGTATATGTCAGTTAAGGAAAATTCATGATTTCCGAAGGGAAACTACCTTTTTAATCAGTGTTGTATCTCTTATGTCTGTTCACTTAAATATGCAGCATGTTGCATGTGTGTTCTTATGATACTTACAGGGATAAGTTAAATTGCTTTATACATTGTATTCACGGTAATCATTCTTAGAAAAGTGTGTGTGCATTTCTGTATGTTGTCACTGTATATCCTGCGATCACATCCACCCATGTATGTTTTTATATATTCTTCACATATACTTGAATTTTATGTCAATAGAAGCTATAGCTAAAGCTAGAAGGCAAAAATAAACATTTGAACTTAGCATTCTTTTTTTTCTCTTTATGTAGGCAATGCTCAGAATGTGACCAGGCAGGGAGCAGTGACATGGAAGCAGATATGGCCATGGAAACCTTACCAGATGGGACCAAACGATCAAGGAGACAGATTAAGGAACCAGTGAAATTTGTTCCACAGGATGTGCCACCAGAACCCAAGAAGATTCCAATAAGAAACACGGTAATGTATTCCTTATTTATCATAATCATCATAAAATTCTGAGGCCAAGATTCAAGATGGTAAGAAAGACAAAGGGACAGCATATACCCAGGAGCCAAAGAAAGAAATGTATACATTACTATTGGTTATTCTTTGAAAATTTATTATTTTACATTATGAAATATACCATGCCTACCTGAGAGTTTATGGTTTTTATGTTTGATTTAAAGAATAGTAATAATGGGGGGACTTCCGGGCAACCTAGCGCTATAGTCAGAAGCACCACACCGTCCCTCCACAGCAAAGATCAGAAAAACTAAGTCAAACAGAGTCACACGTCAGTCCTGAAACCCTACGCATCAAATGAAGAGATAAAGAACTCAGCCAAGCACTGAATGGAATAAGAAACTGACCGAGAACAGAGAGCGAGGGGAGGTAGATGCAGAGGTCCTCTATCAGCTACTGCAGCACAGATCCGCCATTTTGGACTGCTATCAGAGATTAGCGAGCAGGGAATATGAGAAAGCAGCTTCACAGAGCTTCCAGCAGGAGACAGAACAACTGGGAACCAGTGATAGACGCTTTCCCACCCCCCACCCTTCTTCA